CTGCGCTGCCAGGCTGCCTCCGGCCGCTTTGGCGGTGCGGGCAACGGTTCGTTTCCCCTCTCCTCACTCGCGCTTCCTCCTCCCTGGTTCCAGGTATGTAAGGAAGGATTTTCAGAAAACGCCAATGACACTGTTTGAAGTCTGCGCTTGGCTAGCTGTGGCAACTGCCGCTGCCTAGGCCATCGACTCGCGCTAACTGTATGGGTGAGTGATTAGCTGGAGGTGTGACTAGTCACCTAGTGATCTGCAGGTAGCATTGCCACCAGGTTGTGTGCACTGTAAAAAAAAACACACACACACACACACACACACACACAGAGAAAAGGTACAGGATGCGTGCGTGGAGCAGTTCTATGGCATCAACAGCATTGGCATCAATTTTTGCTTTTAATCTTCTGCACGCAGTGGATTTGCTGCTGCAGAAACTCCACTGATGCCAATGGAGTCACCCAAGGTAGGAAGACAGCTGGGCCTGTGGGTCTGTGGGAGTAGGTCACATTTTTTGCAGGATGTGGCAATGTAATTTGGCACAAATACATGAGACTAAACTCAATGGGCTTAGTTTTGACCCTCCACCTATTGAACACCACAGACAAGACAAACAGCATAAACTACATCGTTCACTGCAACTTTTCTATGAATTTAAGATTGAGAGAAGGGCCTGAAGTGTAAATCTCCATGTTTTAACAAAATACATCCTGTGCAACACGGACCTAAATGAAAACCAACAGTCCAACGAGCACTAGGGCCAGGACCACGTGAATCCGTAACAAAACATCATGATGAGGCCTTACCTCAGCCATCAACTGAACCAGAAAAAAGATGTTCATTGCCAGTTCCACGCACAAACCGCAGCTAAGATTCACCACAACGCCAGGGCCTCATTTCCGTCTAAGACCTGCTTGATTCGTCAGCTACAGTCAGGAATATCTTTCTGTGAACAAAAGTCTGATTTATTATTTAACATAATCATCAGATGCTGCAGGGCTCTAAAGAAAACAGGAAAAGGAAATAGGTGGGCTCAATCACCCCAGTCCGGGAGAATGGGTTAAATGACCTCTTGTGGCCTCTGCTTTATGCAATTTCATGTGATTTACTGATTTTCAGATCAATTCATTTTTTCTTTCCTTTGGTTCCTCCAACGGAGATGAAAGCGTGGGGCTGTTTTTGCCTGTGTGTACACACAAACTCAGGGATTAGAAATTGCCATCCTCTTTAAAGCTGAGATTCATCAGTTTCATTACAATAGAGTCTGGATGCTATTGTGTGAGTTGAAAGCTGGTTGGATTTTTCCATTCAAAACAGATCTCAGTTTTGTGCGAGAGGACCATGGATCTCCGTTACTTTCCCTGGTGTACCAATGAGTCAGGTGATTGATTACACTGGTTTGGGGGTATCTATTGTACAAAGAGATATCATAGTTCAGTATTTTCGAAACATGAATGAAGATTTAAAAATACAAAACATAGGAAGAAAATCTGCAGTCTTTATTACCACCATCTTAGCTTATTTTTGTCACTGCTGCTATTATTTACCCTCAGAAAGCAGCAGCTTGGACATATCTTTTCTTAGGCAGGCTGGAATAGCTGAACGCGGGCTTGCCTGAAATGCCTGTGTTGATTTTTGTGGGGATTTTGGGCAAGGGTACCGGCAAAGCTGGGATCAGGTTCAGAGCGGGGTAGATTCTCTGCAGCCCTTGAGCCATGGATCCCAAACCCGCAAGTAACGCGCCCTACTGCGGGCCCAGGACCATTCGCCACACCCTGCGCCTACGCCTCTAAACTTCTTGCACTAAAACCCCTCCCCCCCCTTTTTTTTTCCTGTGGAAGTTAAATTCCTGCCCTGGCATTCACAGCTGGCATTTTTTGACATGCTTTTTGATTTGTGGGGCAACTGAAGCCCCCAGAACGGTGCTAGGATTAGCCCTAAGGGACCAATTTACTCTAGTAATCGACAAAAAACAAAAGGCCCTTCTCAGAGCATTTGTAATGGCAAATGGAAAGGCAAATAAAAGCACTTACAAAAAGACAGTTTTCTGCAGCGAGACTGGAGATGGAAGCGGCTGAGCAGCTAAAGCACAGGGCTCAAGAGAAGAGGGGTTTAGTCCCTACGCGGTCACTGGCTCGGTGACCTCCGCTAAGTCATCCAGTGACTCAGTCCCCCCCCCCCCGGAAAATAATGACCTCTGTGCGACACCACAGCAGACAGGGAGAAAGGGGGTGCCGAGCGGCGTGGCTGCCCCCACGGCCGAGACGTGCCAGGGCCGAAAGCTTT